GGTGTAACCGTAAAAGGTCACATTAACCTTCGACCTCAAAATGTCAATACAGTTTTTAAAGCAATTGTGACTTGTGCAAAGTTAAACTTTTTAATCTTCTATTTTGATGTTAATTTCCTACTTTGATGTTAATTTCCTATTTTGATGTTAATGTCCTACTTTGATGTTAATTTCCTACTTTGATGTTAATTTCCTATTTTGATGTTAATGAATTGTTTTCCTTTATCATTACAGATTATCTAAGATGAAATTAAGAAATAAAAGTAATATTACCAGATTATCTCCCCTTCATAACAATGATAATTCACTTTTGTCAATTGGCATGAACATTTACATTTGTCCAACACTAGTTAAGTGTGAAACCTGTCTATAAAGACCATAATCAACACATTTTAAGATTTTACATAAAAACCTGTTATGTCTATTACCAGCTGCCTGTAACTATTAACACCATTTTTAAGATTTTACATGTACATAAATACCTGTTTATAAAGAGCAGGACTGTGTTCTCTCCCTTGGTTAGTCTTTATAGATATGTGTATTACCAGCTGCCTGTAACTATTAACACAATTTTTACTCTCTCCCTGGGTGGTTTTTATAGACAGGTTTATAATACCATTTGTCTAATACGACTGTTTTACTCCCTGCTGAGGGAGGTTTTTATTGACTGGTTTATAATACAATTTGTCTAATTAGACTGTTTTACTCTCTGCCTTGGTGGTTTTTATAGACAGGTTTATAATACAATTTGTCTAATTAGACTGTTTTACTCTCTGCCTTGGTGGTTTTTATAGACAGGTTTATAATGCCATTTGTCTAATAAGACTGTTCTACTCCCTGCTGAGGCTGGTTTTTATTGACTGGTTTATAATCCCATTTGTCTAATAAGACTGTTCTACTCCCTGCTGAGGCTGGTTTTTATTGACTGGTTTATAATACCATTTGTCTAATAAGACTGCTTTACTCTCTGCCTGGGTGGTTTTTATTGATATGTTTATAATACCATTTGTCTAATAAGACTGTTTTAATATCTGCCTGGGTGGTTTTTATTGATATGTTTATAATACCATTTGTCTAATACGACTGTTTTACTCCCTGCTGAGGGAGGTTTTTATTGACTGGTTTATAATCCCATTTGTCTAATAAGACTGTTTTCCTCTCTGCCTGGGTGGTTTTTATTGATATGTTTATAATACCATTTGTCTAATAAGACTGTTCTACTCCCTGCTGAGGCTGGTTTTTATTGACTGGTTTATAATACAATTTGTTTAATAAGACTGTTTTACTCTCCGCCTGGGTGGTTTTTATTGACAGGTTTATAATACCATTTGCCTAATAAGACTGTTTTACTCCCTGCTGAGGGTGGTTTTTATTGACTGGTTTATAATCCCATTTGTCTAATAAGACTGTTTTTCTCTCTGCCTGGGTGGTTTTTATTGACAGGTTTATAATCCCATTTGTCTAATAAGACTGTTTTGCGCTCTGCCTGGGTGGTTTTTATTGACAGGGTTATAATACCATTTGTCTAATACGACTGTTTTACTCCCTGCTGAGGGTGGTTTTTATTGACTGGTTTATAATCCCATTTGTCTAATAAGACTGTTCTACTCCCTGCTGAGGCTGGTTTTTATTGACTGGTTTATAATCCCATTTGTCTAATAAGACTGTTCTACTCCCTGCTGAGGCTGGTTTTTATTGACTGGTTTATAATACCATTTGTCTAATAAGACTGTTTTACTCTCTGCTGAGGGTGGTCTCTATGGACAAGTTCATAAGACCACCTGGCAAGTATAATTGATTTTTCTCTTTCCATTTGGCAATCTTGAAAGACAGATTTATAAAGATAAATTGCATATTATGACAGTTTTTACATTTGCCCTTAGGCTGCTTTTATAAACTGGCACATGCTACATCAAATCAAATATCAAATTCAATATACACAGTTGTCTCCCTTTGTATCAATACTTCAAACTATGTCAAATAAGTTTATATGAACAAACATTAAATTTTGTGTGGAAAAGAATATCTGTGCCTGGACACTTACAGTTACCTTGTAACTGTGCCTAATACAGTTACCGGACACATACAGTTATCTTGTAACTGTGCCTGGACACATACAGTTGTCTTGTAACTGTGCCTGGTCACATACAGTTATCTTGCAACTGTGCCTGGACACAAACAGTAATCTTGTACCTGCGCCTGGACACATACAGTTCCCTTGTAACTGTGCCTGACACATACAGTTACCTGGTAACTGTGCCTGGACACTTACAGTTACCTTGTAACCGGGCCTGGACACATACAGTCATCTTGTAACTGTGCCTAATCCAGTTACCGGACACATACAGTTATCCTGTAACTGTGCCTGGACACACACAGTTATCTTGTAACTGGGCCTGGACACATACAGTTCCCTTGTAACTGTGCCTGCACACATACAGTAATCTTGTACCTGCGCCTGGACACATACAGTCATCTTGTAACTGTGCCTAATACAGTTACCGGACACATACAGTTATCTGGTAACTTTGCCTGGACACATACAGTTCCCTTGTAACTGTGCCTGACACATACAGTTATCTGGTAACTTTGCCTGGACACATACAGATACCTTGTAACTGTGCCGGGACACATACAGTTATCCTGTAACTGTGCCTGGACACAGACAGTAATCTTGTACCTGCGCCTGGACACATACAGTAATCTTGTACCTGCGCCTGGACACATACAGTAATCTTGTAGCTGTGCCTGGACACATAAAGTTATATTGTAACTGTGCCTGGACACATACAGTTATCTTGTAACTGTGCCTGGACACATACAGTAATCTTGTACCTGTGCCTGGACACATACAGTTACCTTGTAACTGTGCCTGGACACATACAGTTATCTTGTAACTGTGCCTGGACACATACAGTTATCTTGTAACTGTGCCTGGACACATACAGTTATCTTGTACCTATGCCTGGACACATACAGTTATCTTGTACCTGTGCCTGGACACATACAGTTATCTTGTAACTTGGAGAACCAGTCTTACTTACCTAGAGTGCATATCAGATCTTCAAAAATGAATTTCTATAATAACTTATAAATAATAAAGATAAAATGTATATATTTTACCTTATATGAAAGCTCCCCAGGTATTCATATAACATCATCATAGTAAAAACAAGTCATTAACCTCCCCTATATTTACAACATGATGACATCCTGCAAGGTATTTCACAATAGAACTCTGCCTAGTGCTGCTGGTTTGTTTCCATCATGTCAAATAATGCTTAATATTTCTGAAGATGCAATCAATTTTTGTTCTTTGAATTTGGGCAAGACATGTTTAAATCTGTTTAAAATTTATTTTTCAAAAAATTTGAATTGTTCCTGTTTAATAATTCTTAAACCCTCTTTCTTGTTTTCATTAGTGATGTCTTGTCATACCATGATAATACATAATCTCAGGACTTGTCATACCATGATAATACATAATCTCAGGACTTGTCATACCATGATAATACATAATCTCAGGACTGTTAATTCATGCATGGGGTTAAGTTTTTCCTTATTTAATTATGGAAGTAATACTGTTCGACTGATCATTTAATACCAATCTCACACAAGCAGGACATAAATATATTTCTCCTCTGATCACAAGTCACAAAGCTCACAATAAGCTTCCCCAGATATATCACCTTACTGTAATCACAAAGATCACAATAAGCTTCCCCAGATATATCACCTTACTGTAATCACATAGAAAAAGGACTTTATGGTGGAATCTATCTGCCATCAGACTCCACATCCTAAATTGCAATATCTTAATCATCAATATAAAATATTATCACAAATAATTATCCATGCAAGTCGAGAACCATCAGTCACAATACTAAAGGAAGTCACAAACAATCAGTGCACTACCCTCACCTGTAACGAGATCCCCAGTAACATCAACGACTGGCTGATCAATGATGGTACTGATAAACTCTACGTAATCCATTTTGTAAAATGCTTCATACTACTAGTTTTCACGATTGTGATCAGCAAATACTCAAAAGCCACTATAATACCTCTTTACAGTGTACAGGGAGATGTCTCAGGTAAATATCTGTTGTGCACTGATTGTTCTTAACTTGCGACATTAGCATTTGACGTAACTTGTTTGACACCCACAATTACTGTAAATCACTTATTTTGTAAATATTTATTTCATATTCATCAAACAAAATTTGGGATACTTATCAAACTATGTTGGAAATATTATTTCTGATAATTTTGAACAAATCATATTAAAAAAAAAATTGAATTGAAACACTTTATGCAATTCATTATTTGGTCTGGACTCGTTAGCAAATCGTTAAAATCAGAAGTAGTGCAGAACCTCCCGAAAGACCTTTAGAAAATATATATATAAATAGTCAGTTAATTATGGTGAAGGGTTGGAGACTCTGAGCAGAAAAATGAGACGGAACGCTCAAGGGAGGGTCAAATACGATAACTGTGAATATATTGTTTAAAAATGATAAAGTATTCACAAAAACAGAGTGAGTAACAGTACTTTGTGGGTTGTGTATTGGTATCCATACATTATACAGACTACAGAGAGGTAAGCATGCATGCCCGTCACCAAAGTCAATTACACAAGCTCCCGGTGGTACTGGTAACCCCCAACACACAAGTACAACTATCCAACAGTCCGTTCATAAACCTCCTCATCACAACAAATCACCACTGCCACTAGATTCAACTTTATAAATTTCTAATTAAAGTCATTCACAAGAAATGTTTTACTTCAACTATCTTGCCAGAATGATGTTAGGGTAAGAAGGTACCTTCATTTATAATTACAGTTTTTGCATTGACATGTGTGTCTGTATGAGGTGTATGCTGACCACTGACTGATATCGGTAGATCTGTTGGAGGATCGTACTTATGATGTAAGGGCTCCTCTAGGTCCCTGATAATCTATCGTGTTAGGAGGGCTATTGAGTCTATGTTTCGGGCACCTTGTGTAAGTGTTCCGTCCTGAGCGATGCCACAAGTCCACGGTATCGCTGCCTCGTGTCCGTCTGATGGCCCTCCTGGTCCACACTGAGACTCTGTCGGAGATTCTGAATTGCACTTGCATGCTGACGTTCTGCCTCCTGAACCTGCAGTTCAAGACGACCAAGTTCACGTGGTGTTGCACTAGTATCAGATTTTTTTGTTTTTGGAGTTGATGTTGCCGGGGTGCCCTCCAGATAGAAAGAAGAGGAGGCTGGAGATCCGTCATCATTGAGAGCCACACTGAAACTTCCTGATAATAATTTAGGTGGAGATGAACCCCGTCGTTTGATGTCCCTAAGAAGTGTGTTTTTCTGTCTTTCCAACAGCTCCTCTTTCTCCTGGAGCTTAGATTCGATCTCCGATAATTCTTCCTCCAGAAGTCGTTTCTGTCGCATCAGTTCCTTCTCCGTTATGTTTTTGTGATACAAAATCTCCTCTAACTGCTCCTGTGAGTGCCGCTGTTTCTCCAGTGCTAATCTTTTCTCCGACAATTCACGCTCTAAATCCTCTCTCTCACACAACTTGGTATATAGCAAGTCTTTTTCTCGCCTTAAGCTTTCTTCCAGAATACTGTTGTCTCCCAATTTACGTGTTAATCTTTGATTTTTCATTTCAAATTCATGTATCTTCTCTAAAAGATGGTCCCTCTGGTTTTGTAAGAGAGTAATCTGTTTGCCAAACACAGTGTTTGTGTTGTCCGTATTTGGCACATCCCTCCCTAATAACTCACGCAGTTCTATAACAACCTGTTCCTGGTCCTGTATACGACGTAGCCATCGTTCGTTTTCAATTTGAAGCATTGTATTAGTTTCCTCGAGAGCACCGACCTTTAGTCGTAGTCTTGTTACCTCGTGCGACGAGTCAGAGTCAAAGCTGGTGGAGCTAACACTTGATTTACTTTTAGTAGCGTCACGAGAAGAACCATCTTTATCAAGCGCCTCCTTCAGTAAAACGTTTTCTTTTGTGTAAATTGCTTTAGTTTCACTCAAGTCTTTCCTAAACCGAGCAATCTCATCGACAAGTTCGGAATGTTGCGTTTCAAGGTGGCCATCATCCTCTGTTGTAAACCCTGCCTGTAGTCTCTCGGAACTGTTGAGGCTGCCAGTGTTAGAGGAAGTAGATGGGACACGAGGAGACACTATTCTGGGGGAGACAATTGGGCTGGAATGTGATAAAGCTGCCATGGGTTTTGGTCTCTGGTCCAAAGTTTGTTTGCTGCCAGACTGTCTGTCTTGAGCTTGAGACACTGAATGAATCACACTGCTAGTGGTGGAAAGTTCACTCATATCACCTACACTGATCTGTGAGAGGTCGTCCGCACTGACCACTGAGTGGTCAACCAGATCCTCCATCTGCATTTCAATGTCACTGGGATGTTCAGAACAATCATCCCCAACACTTGTCAAGGTGCTGTGCCCTTGAGGACTGTGGTCCTCCACATTCTCTACCATCACCTGGGGGATCACACTGTCCCCACTAGAAGACGCATCCTCACTGCCAGTTTCCTGTGGCACTATTGACGGCCCACTTGCTGGTATCTGGAGCGGTCCCTGTCTCAGGAAATGCTCCTCCAGTTTACGAATGTAATTGTCTTTCTCTTTCAGGGTCTGTTCTAACCCAGCTTTCACCTTCATAAAATCCTTCTGTCTTCCTGATGATGACACAATCTGTTTCATGTCATCTTCAAGCTTATGGATAAAGTTTTCCTTTTCCTTCAAGTGTTTTTCAAGTTCCTCAATCCGTGCCTCAGCATTATAATCCTTTGGCGAAATGTCTGTACTATGTTCCTCATCTAGAACCCCTTGTGAAATCCCTATAGACCCACTTCTCTCTGTTTTGGCCATTTTGTGTGCCCCTGATACCTCAGTCAGCTCCAAACTCCCTTCGTGAGCTTGGAGTCTATTTTTAAGCTCCATACATCGCAGATAAAGTTCTTCCTTAGCCGCAGTCATTTCACATAAATTGTCTTCCAATATTTTTAATTGTCTTTCCATGGTAACAGAAGTATCTTTTGACCTTTGAACTAAGTCCTCAAGGTCATGACAGGTGGTCTGGAGATTTTGATGATCAAACAGAATTTCATCCAGATGATTTTTCAGCAAGAATTTCTCCTCTATTAACAGTTTTTTCTCCTCAGTCCAATATGCCTGCTGATTGGACAATTCCACACATTTAGCCTTCAGATCCTGATTAGCAGATGTCAGAATTAGAGTGCGACCTTCTATGGACTCTAGTTCCTTGTCCAGTTCTGTTTTCTCCTTTAGAGCCATCATCTGAGTCTCTCTCAACATTCCTTCCAAGTCCTTACATCTGTGCTGTAGTTGGTTTTTGTCCAACACAAGCTCTTTCACTTGTGATTCCAGGGAATCCACCTGTTTGTCCAGGTCTATCTTTCCCTCATCCTGCTCCAGGACAGAGCTCAATGCACCAATCCTTTGACGTAGCATTAATATCTCTTGCTCAAAGTCAGTTTTAGCTTTTGAAGAACTGGTAAGTTCAGAAAACAGACTGTCTTCCAAACTCTTGACTTTGATTAGAAGAGCTTTGTTCTGTTCTTCAAAACTTTGTCTTTGATCCTTTAGCCTTTCTTCTTTATCAGACAGGGTTGCTTCTAAACTGGAAATTTCACTTTGTAAGGCTTCACATTTGTGTTCAGACTCCTTTTTCTGAGATTCTGTACTTTTAGCAGAATGTTCATTAACTTTTACAGGCAGTCTTTCAAAGTTATCACTGATGCCCATCAGTTCCTGCTCAAAGTGTTGCCTTGACAACGTTGCGTTCTCTAACTGTAACATTGTTTCCCTCTGTTTTTCTGTGAGCGACTGTTTCTCTGACAGGAGATTGGCAACCTTTTCCTCAAGATATTTCTTGTCTTTTCTCAGTCTCTGTATAATTTCTAACTCAGTTTCTTCCTGTGATGCTGTTTTAGCCTGACTTCTACTTTCCTGATTGAATGGAATGTTATGAGTAGTGTTCCCTTGCTTGGATTGATGAAACAGGCCCTGAAGTGGTTCTGATCCGTATAGCAGGTCAGATTGTAGTCCTTCCTGTGACTCAGCTTTAAGCATCATCACACCATCAACTGATTGGATCTCTACTCCAGTCTCATCAGACTCCGCAACAAAAACATCCACAGATGGTGCAGATTTTGATCGCTTGTGAATCTTTACTGACCTGGAATCGACTTTTTCTGGAATGGCGGACATAAATTTTTCTTTCTTTTGTACATATGGATGAGCTACGCTAACAATTTGTGCAGCATTGCGTAATGCCTCCCTAACAAGCTCACTCTCCAATTCACTCGTAGGTGTGATGGGCATGTCCCCATCAAGATCCTGGTCCAGACAGAAGCCATCCTTTTCCGGCTTGAATCCGTTGCCTGCCTCACTTTCAAATTCATCCGCCTCCCTTGTGAACCCTTCTTTTACCTCATGTCCCAACATAGGCTGTACAGAAGGTGATGACTCAACACGAAATTCAATCTCCGGCTGAAATCTGTCCGCATCTGTATGCGGTTTGGTATCACAAATAGCAACTTTTTCAGGAACAATGTTTAAGTCCTCCAATGTCTTGTCGTCTGATTTGACTTTCGACAGCTGAGGAACTGACTCACTTTCCAAGCTCATTGTCTTATGTATTGAAGATTCAAAAACATCATCCACAATAAAATCCTCCATATCTTCCCCACCCTTTATTCTAACAACATCATCCTCTGGTAAAAATTCACTCCTTGCGACAAGCCTAGCGTTAGTTTCATTTTCAGTTACATCCTCAAATCCTTCCTCGGGTTCAAACCCTGCTTCGTTTCCTGTTGTCAGTACTTTGTTAACTTCTGTTACTGGGTTTTCAGTATCATGTTGAAGAAAACCATCTTCAATGGTGTCCCTTTTATTCTCAGGAAGAAATCCAGATTGTGTAGTGGAGTAATGGACTTTGGACCCTGATTCAATCACAGCTACAAACCCTGATGTACTTTGTTTGTGGGATGGCTCTGTATCCCTGAAAGAATCAGCGTGATCCTCTGATGCATGATTCTCCTCGGGATGAAAGCTTCCTTCCTTTGTTTGTGTTTGTAATCCCAAGTTTAATTCAGAATCAGAGTTTATAACTTCAATGTCGTCAGGTTTGAATCCTGTTTGTCCCTCCTCGGGATCCTCGATGACTGACGACCCCGAGCCACTGCCAGGTAAAGCATCGTATAATTCCTGAAACTTTTGTCGAATGAGGCGACATCGAGGTCTCCTGCAATCATAATGTTCAACAAAATCAAGAGCATCGCTTCCGTCGCGACTGTAATCGAAGGAAAGCTGGGGTGAGAGTTCCCAATCAAACATCAACGAGGTGCTTCCATACAAGTGTGTGGAGAACTTGGACTGGTCCAGGTCCGACTCCTGGATGTAGTCTCCTCCCTCACTCACCACACTATCTCCGGGTATGTTGTCAGGGAAGTCGCCATGGATACCGTCTTCATCATCTCCGTGCATTATACGTAGCTCCTCCTGTAGGCGTTCCTGATTGTGGTGGGACAGTGCTACCTGCTGGAGGAGGGCATCCCGTGCCTCAGCCAAGTCCTGCAATAACAAAAAACATGGGGTCATTAAAACACTAAAAATACAAAAATCAGAAAATTTTGCAATTTTACTCATTAATATCTAAAAGAAGTTCAAGATACCGTTTAGCCCCACTGACTAAAACTATTGATCTAGACCCCACGAGTTTGAGTTAGTGGGGGTTTACTGTATTTTAAAATCCCTATTTGTGACTATTAGATCATCCAGTCAGTTTAAATTTGACTAATCTCACAAAGAAGCCATCTTAACACTTATTTGAACTAACTATTAAAAGTTTGTCGATTAACTATTTACAGGTGACATTGTATTAGCATCAAAGCTTGAAACCTACGCCAACCTCAAGGTTTATGTAGAAAGTTAATAAAAATCAAAACATTCCTTCACAATTTATCTCACAGAAACCATTGGTGTGGCTGTTGATGAAATTGATCGATTGACCTCTATATGTGTCACATTTGATTGGTAGGCATATTTTTAAAACCTCCAAGTAATTAATTGAGATTTCCATAGCCCAGTGATGTTTTTCCTGACTTCCCCTCTACCTTACGTTTTTAGCCGAATCAGGAAACATTGGCTTCACATCGAAAACCCCAATTTTTTTAACCCCCTTAGGTGAAATATTAACACTCGCACCATTTAAAACAGTTTCTAAGGATCAGATTATATTACATTGGACATACCTGATTTTCTTGGTGTAGCTTCTGGACCACCTCTCCGATCTGACTTCCCACTTTGCTGGTATTTCCATCACCTGCCTCATTAGCCCTCTCCTCCAAAAACTTGAGTCTCTGTCTATCAAGCTCTTTTTTGACCTGTTTGTCAGCGTCCTTGTTGACCTTCTGCATGGCCTTGAGGAAGGCTGTATCCTTCTCTGCACGGATTGTCTCAATTTTGTGTTTCATGTACACCTCCATTTCTTTCTTATACTTCTTGAATTCCTTGTCATATTTGTCTGAAATTTCTGCCTCCTTGCTCCTGACCTGAAGTGCTACTTTCTCTTCCATTTCATACTTCATTCCTTCCATCTGTATTGCTATACATTCTTTTACTCTTGATTCTATTTCATCCTCTTTGTCCTCAGGTAATGGTCCTCCAACTTGTTGTGATGAAATGCCCACTACATCAGCCTCTTGTGACAATAACCCTGAACTTTCAGATGCATCATTCTCACAGAAGAGTTGGTCTTCCAAATTTACATTGTCTTTCATTTTTTCCAGATCCTCAATTTTCCTGTACAACTTTGTCACCTCCTCTTGATACGATTCTTGGATCTGTTGATTCTCTGACCTAGCACCCTCCAGTTCTTTTCTTAAATCATTGATACATTTTTCATAATGTGTCACAGTGTCTGCTTCTGTAACAGGCTCAACTTGAAAGAATCCTGATTCTGAAACAACATCCTGCTCCTCATCCAGACCCTCCATGAATCCTGGGATCTCTGTTGAACTCATTTGGGAGCCAGAAGCTACTCTTTGATTCCTCATGTCCTTCTGGGACTTGTATGAATCCTTTGAATGGTCCGTATTTTCCAGACTTGTTGTAGGGAATCTGTTTTCCTCCTGCGTAAGCCTCAGAATGAGACTTGCCTTTTGATCATGCGAGAGGTTGAGGTCATCCTCCAGCAGCTGTAGAGAAGACTTCACAGCCGTCATCTCAGTATTGACGTTCCCAAGCTGTTCTTTAAGATTCTCTATCTCATTGTTACACACCTTTTTCGTGTCCTCCATCAGTGACTGAACAGTTTCATATTTATGCTGCATTTGTGAGAGATCCTCGGCCATGGCTGTGTGGCTGTTCAGCAGCTCATCGCGTTCCTGTTCAAGCTGTGATAATGTCTCCTTTAGTTGTGCTATCTCCTGAACCAATGATTCATTCTTTGCCTCCAGAGTCTGACTCTTTTGATCCTGATCAGCTAAAACATTGACCTTGTCTAGATGTAATTCATTGGAATGATTTCTGAGTTGATCTAGCCCCTCTGCGAGTTGTTCTGTGCCGCTTTCTCTTTGTGTTGGATCCTGTTCTAAACTCTGTTCTTGTTCCTTCAATGCAGCACACTCCTGAATCAAGGTCTGATTTCTTCTTTTCAAATTTTCATTTTCATTTTCCAATCTTGTCCTGAGCTGCTCTGAGGCATCTAACTCCTGTAGAAGTTGTTCTCTTGCTAAGATCAGCTTCTCACAGCGCTCATTCCTAAGCTTCAGTTCAGACGTTAGTTCCTTATTTTTGGCTTGTTCTCCACCACGTTCAGCTGTGAGAGATCTGAGATCACTCAGAAAATCTTCACTCATGTTGTCATTTTCCGTCATGTTGTTTTTAAGTGATTCCACCTGACTCAGGAGATCATGTTTGTTGCGAGTCAAATTGTCCACTTCACTCTTCAAGCTTTCTATTTCAGTATTTAGACTTAGCCTGACATCACCTGCTAACAGCAGATTTGCTTTTGCAGACTCCAGCTCTGCCTGGTAGAAGTCTTTACTCTCTGTCAAATCAGTTAATTCCTCCTGAAAACTTTCAATGGTTTTTTCCGTTTCAATATTTTTCTGATCAGAATCTTCCACCTGTTGGTGAACTACTCCTAGCTCTGTTTCCGAATCCTTCATGCACTGTTTATAATTCTCAATCAGTGCCATGTTCTGTCTGTTAGTAGATTCCAGCCGTTCTCGGACAACTTGAGAGTGTTGTTTTGCCTCCTGATGCACTGTCTCTAATCCTTCATAGTCAGTCTTTGCTGAATCCAAAGCTTTGCCAAGAGCCTCTATTTCGTCTTGTTTTATATTTATTTCATCTTTCAATTCCTTGTACAGCTCTTCCAGACTCTCTTTTTCCTCTGAATGCTTTCTGACCCTTTCGTCCGAGCTGCACTGTAACTCCTCCACTTGACCACACAGAAAACGTATCTCCTCCTCCATCTTCAATCCTTTTCTTTCGGCTTCTGTTTCCAGGGTGCCTACTTTTACAGTTAGATTATCTCTTTCCTGTAGGAGACTTTCACCGTCTTTCATATATTTTTCACATTTTTCATTCATTGACACGATTTCCTTGGCATGCTGTGATTTCATCTGTACAAGGTCTTCTGTGTGATCCATTATCAGCTGATTAACGTCCTTATTGTGTTGGGAGCTGTTATCACCATGTGACATTAGCATTTCCAAAACACTTTCTTCAAGGCGAGAATATTTTCCCTTCAACTGTGTCAGTTCTGAGTGCAGTACTGTTTCTGATTTTTCCATGTCAAGTGTCTTCTGTTCCACAGTTGCTTTATCGGTTTTTATTCTATCTAGCTCCTGATTAAATTTGTGACCTAGTTCCTTTTTATCGTTTTTAAATTTCTCCATTTCTGTTTCTAGATCTGTTCTCAAATTTTCAATCTGCATTTCCCAATTTTGTTTCGTAGATTCAAACTTTTCTTGAGCCAAATACCCCTGGTTCCTCTGTTGTTCAAGTTCTGAGTCAAGTGTCTTAATTTTCTCCTCAAAACATTGTTTTTCATTCAATAGAAAATGTTTGTCACATTCCAGACGTTGTATTTCATCTGCCTGCCTCTGTATCTCACCTTCCAGATATTGTTTTTTATTTTCCAGACCTTGGTTTTCAATCTCCAACTGTTCCTTTCCAGCAGACAGTTGATGACATGTGTCTGTCAATGACTGTTTCTCTGACAAGAGAATATCACGCTGTTCGGCGAAGCCTTCCTCAGTCATCCTTTTCTCCCGTTGCAAGTGTTTACATTGCTCCTTCAGAGAAGTCCTCTCCTTGTTAAAAGATGCTTCTAATTCAGATTTTTGACTTTCAATGTCTTTTTCCAGCTCCTCTTTTTCCAAACAATGATCATGAAATTTTGTCTGATATTCTAGATTCAGTGAGTTAAGGTTTTGTTCAACACTTGTCAATGAGTCCTGAAGCTTTTCACATTTACTTGCAAGCTCTAGACGTTCACTTTGAAATGCTGTACGCTCCTGTTCCATACTGTGAATCATGACAGATTTCTCCATTTCGTGACTTTCTCTATCAAGGTCAGCTTGCTGGTTGAGAGCGTCAAGTATAGCCTCCAGCTGACTACACTGAACCTGTAGTTCTCCATAATTCCTGTCCTTCATTCTCATAGTTTCCAATTCCTTATTCACATTTTCAAACCTTTGTGCAAATGTTTCTTCTCTACCAGAATGGTTGTCTCTTTCTTGTGTAACTAAGGATTTTAAAGACAAAATCTCATTATCAAATGCTGTCCTTTCCAGTTTTAGAGCTTCCTGGAGTTGATGACATTGTGCTTCTCTCTCACTACACTCAGTTCTTACCCTTTCATGACCATTCTGCAGTTCTGTTATTTGAACATGCAAAGAAGCAATATTACTTTTGAGATCCTCACCCTGTTTTTCTAACATTTCTGAATGTGATTTTTCGTTGTCAAGATCAGTTTTGAGATCCTCACATTGTTTTTCTAAAATTTCAGCATTTGACCTTTCTTTGTCAAGATCAGTTTTGTGATCCTTATACTGTTTTTCTAATGATTCAGAATTTGACCACTCTTTGTTGAGATCAGATTTTAAATCCTCACACAGCTTTTCTGAGATTCCAGCATTTGTCCTTTCCTTGTCAAGATCAGTTTTGAGATCCTCACATTGTTTTTCTAAAACTCCAGAATGTGACCTTTCCTTGTCAAGATCAGTTTTGAGATCCTCACATTGTTTTTCTATCAATTCAGCATTTGTCCTTTCCTTGTCAAGATCAGTTTTGAGATCCTCACATTGTTTTTCTAACAATTCAGCATTTGTCCTTTCCTTGTCAAGATCTGTTTTGAGATCCTCACATTGTTTTTCTATCAATTCAGCATTCGTCCTTTCCTTGTCAAGATTAATTTTGAGATCCTCACATTGTTTTTCTATCAATTCAGCCTTCGTCCTTTCCTTGTCAAGATCAGTTTTGAGATCCTCACATTGTTTTTCTAACAATTCAGCATTTGTCCCTCCCTTGTCAAGATCAGTTTTGAGATCCTCACATTGTTTTTCTATCAATTCAGCATTCATCCTTTCCTTGTCAAGATTAATTTTGAGATCCTCACATTGTTTTTCTAAAACTCCAGAATGTGACCTTTCCTTGTCAAGATCAGTTTTGAGATCCTCACATTGTTTTTCTAAAACTCCAGAATAGGACCTTTCCTTGTCAAGACTAATTTTGAGATCCTCACATTGTTTTTCTAAAACTCCAGAATGTGACTTCTCATTGTCAAGATCAGTTTTGAGATCCTTACACTGTTTTTCTAACATTCCAGCTGAAGTCCTTTCCTTGTCTAATTCTTTGATCAATTCCTGTTCATCACATTTGTTTGCATTTATTTTGTCCTGGTACGATTGAAGAGAGGTTGCGTACCTTTCTTCGGTCATACCTAAATCCTCTTTTGCTTTTTCAAAAGTCGTTTTCAGTTCTTGGCACTGAGTTTCCAACTCACAAACACGACACCTTTCCTTATTTAGAGAACAGGACAGTTCCTCTAACTCGTTTTTCTCTGTTGCCCGTTGTTTTTCCAATTTCTGGATATAATTCTCCGTTAACCTCCTTTCAGCATTCAGACTCTCCAGGTCGGTGTTTGTATTTTTGTTTTTTTCCAACAATTCACTATTAGTTTTCATGATTTCCTCCACTATGGCCTTCATTTGTTCAGATTCTGCATTCTCCTGCCTCAGTTTGTCCATGGTAAGGTCTAGTGTCTCCTTCAGTGTTGTGTTGTCATTGACCATTTTTACTATGACATTCTCCATTTTATCCTTCAGCTCTTGTTTTTCATCCTCTTTGTTCTTTAACAAATTCTCAAGTTGCTGTATATCCCCTTTAGTTTTTCCTGTATTTGTTTTCTCAAGTTTAACTAATTTGGCTTTGTTTCGAATGAATTTCGCTTTGTTTTCCTCAAGGGACTGGGTCAATTTTTTCCTTTCATTTTCCTTGGATTCAAGTTCTTTTTGGAGTTTTTCATTGTCTGTACTTAAACTTGTATTCTCCTCTTTCAGATTTTTCATTTCACATTTTAGTTTATCACACATACTTTTGAAACTTGTCAAATCTTCCTCCTTTATACATGAAGGCACAAGATCTTCCTGAGCAACTTTGATTTTGGCCTCAAAATCAGTCACCATTTGTTGGCGCTCAGAAGTAGAGAGTTCCAATTGTCTTTCCAAATTTTCCTTTTGAGCTTGTAGCTGAATGAGTGAGAGTTGCAAGTCCTCCTTTTCCCGATAAAAAGCCCTATTTTCCTCCTTCAGTGTTTTGTAGTCATGTTCTGGATCTATTTGTAAGTATTTGGTATCTGAATTTTGCAATTGTTGTTGCAGAATCTGACTTTGTAGCACGGATTCATCGCCAGCTGTACACAGAATCTTTGATCCATCAGCACACTGATGTACCTGATGCTCATCTTGGTCCTTCACAATTGTATTACACATGCTTTCTAACTTTGCTTCTTTCTCTCTTTGATCTGCTAAAATGTCCACCTTTTCACTTTTCAGTGTTTCCAGTTCTGATTTGAGCACATCCTCAACTTCACTCATAGAACATATTTTTAACTCACTGTGGTCTAGTTTTTCTTTTAATTCCAATAACTGGTTTCCCAACGAAGAATTATCTTTCTCCAGTTCTGACTGGAGCTTGTCTTGGGCTTCACACTTGGTAACAAGATCTGAGTTCTCTGTCTGTATTTGTTGTACTTTTTCCTGTAAAGCACCACATTCAATCTGTAAAGAAGATAATTTCAGTTGGTCCTCCTCCTTGCCTGAAGACAAAGCAACATTCTTTGTCCTTAAACTATCACAGTTTTCAGATAATACATGAAGCCTCTCTTTGAGTGACCTGTTTTCTCCAGTAATTGCCTCATTATCTTTCTTACTCTCGGTATATTTTTGTTGGAATACTAAATAATCTGGCTGTAGCATTGCCTGGTCAGGAGAAGTATCTTCATGCTCAGCCAACTTGTGACTAGCTGAATCACAACCCTGGTTGTTCAGTGGAACACTCTCACTAAGTCTACTTTCTACATTATCTCCATGGTCTCCTAGCATTCTTGCCTCGTCATGATCAACTGACCCAATATTTGAATCAACTGGATCATCACTTGTAGTAAAAGAATCGACACCTTTGTCATCGGAAGCAGAATCTAAAGCATTCACCTTAGTACACGGGGATTTACCAGCACCATCGGAGTAACTAGGAACCAACAGACTTGGAATAACTGAAAGCATGCACTGGGAATTCCTTACCCTCTCTTGTAGTCTTCCCTCTAGTGTACACTCATCCTCTTCAATAGAATCTGCAGAAATGTCATGTGTACCCTCATCATTATCCAATGGGTCGATTGAGTCAGGAGACATTCTGGAAGAAGACACTGCTCCACATGTTTTCTGGAAGCTGGTTTGTGTAATATTGTCCTCAGCCACTTCCTGTTTAATGGCCACTGAATTCTGGGAGTCTTGCACCATTATCTCTTGTTCAATGGAATCCTGGGAGGATAGTGACCTTTCTGCAGTTGGCTGTGTCCAAGGGTCATGTGACCCCCCATCCACAGCCTCTTCTATCTCCATGAATTTCTGGACCATCACCTCTTCCACAGGCAAAGTCAATCTATCTGTGGTTTTCTCGCTCTCTGTCTTCAGCTCAGTCACCTGCCATTCCAGTGCACTGATTTTTCGAGAAAGTAAATCTTTCTCTTCCTGTAGAGTTTTGTTCTTCTCCTCAAGTTCATTCAAGACAGTATTTGATATTTCTGTGACATTCTCTGTAGGTGTCATTGTTTCTGCAGAAGTTTGAGGGTCCTGGGGCACTTGTCTGGTAGATTTCTCTAAAGTCTTAGCTTCCTTTTTTAAATGCTCGATATGTTCAAGCAGATTTGCTCTTACTGTGTGTAAATCATCAACATGAGTCTGCATCTGAAGAATTTCCTGTTCCAGATCAGTGTGCCTCTCCTCATTATCTCCCATGGTCATTTTTTCGCCCTTATTTGTAAGTTTGTTGGTCACATTTCCATCATCTGATTGGACAATCTGTTTGCTAGCACTGTGATCCACTTTACCAACATGACTCGAGTCAGCTGACTGATCCTGGGCCTGTAATGGAACCTCCTCCTGCCTTCCAAAGAAAAAGCTCCGATCAAACTGAGGCAAGTGGTTACTGTCAAGCTGAGACAGCTGACCTTGGTCTAGAGAGGATTGACAAGAAGGCAGCTGAGACAAGTTTTCTGAGTCTGTATGTGACGACTGCCCTGAACCAAGCTCTGGAGACGAACTTGAATCACTTTCAGTAACATGTGATTGCTGTGTATCACTGGTTGTGTTACCAGTCCTTTGTGTAGGTTCCATCGGGGACAGAACCGAAGAAGATTGATCCTGTCCCAACGATACCATTTCTGATTGGTCCTGTCTCAACGATACCATTTCTGCAACAAGTCTTTGATTTATCATAGAAACATCCTCATACTTTGCATTCATTTCTTTACTTGTCTCCTCCAGACTTTTCTTGCTGTCAAGTGCCTGATTCAACTCAATCTGCAGGGTTTCAATGATAAGGTTGGCACTCTGCACATCCGCCATTAGCGTCAAGTTGCTTTCTATTTGCTCCTCTCTCTCCTTTTGAAAAAGCTCATTTTCTGACTTGATATGATCAAGTTCTCGCAGCTCAACTTCAGACTTATTTCCAATTTCTTTAAGCACCATAATTTCATCACTTAATTTTTCAATTTCTGACAAAGCAAATGTTCTTTCATCCAAGAGTCTTGCCAAGTCTGCCTTCAAGGCCTCAATCTGAGAAACATATTGTTGATTCTGTGTAATTACTGAATCTTGTTGCGATGACTCATTCACTACCGCACTGCTGCTATCATTTGTCAGTGTGGCTTCACTATCGTTTGATGTATCTTTTGACAAGTTTTGCTCCAAAGAAACACATGAAGTTCCAGGTGACGTTGTGTCCAATAGAGAATTCTCATCACATGCAAGATCTTTTTCGGCAAGTGTAGCATTTTCTATTGTAACTTCCTCCTGAACACACATGGCAGATTGTCCATAATTTTGAACACAAGATTCAGTGGTGCCAGTTTCCCCAAGCGTGACTACCAGTGGAGATTGCTGCACAAGAGGTACATTGTCTATAGGAGGACTTGGTTCTTCTACGAGTCTCATATTGTCTGTTTCGTCAGTTGATTCACCTAATGTCACATCATCAACTTCCATGCCTGCCCCCAACTCTCTAGGACCCAGTAAAGTAGACTGCAGCCTCTGTGGAGATGTTTCAGACTGATTCAGGGCTTCCTTTAATGAGGAAATCAGATCCTCCATCTTCGAACCTTTGCTTTTCAATTCCTCATTTTCTGATTTTAGTAAACCAACTTCCTCTTCAAATTTTCTAGCCTTTTCAATATATTGGCTTTTTTCCAAGAAAGCTTCCTCTATTTCCGTGTTTTGAGAGTCTAAGTCCTCTGACAACAAATTCATTTGATCTCTCAAGCGACTGTTTTTGGATGTCAGACTGTCTAATTCAGATTTGAGACCAACCACAGAGTCCTGCTGACTGTTTATTTTATTCTTTAACTCGTCATTTTGAGACTTGTATAGAGCACATTCCTCTTGTAATTCCTTTACCCTAGTGGCTGCAATTTCATAATCTTGAAGCCTTTGACTGTAATCCTCATTTTGTGCCTGATATTGTTCCAATAGTTCCTTCAACTGGTCACACTGAGATTTATACACGTTACATTCCTCCTGAAGTTGCACAATTTTATCATCTGTGTTCATGTAACGTTGTAACTGATCACGATAATCAGCATTCTCTTTCATCGCTTTCTCCATTGCTGCCCTCACCTGAACCATCTCTGCACTAAGAGTTACCTTCTCTTCCTGATACTGTTGGACAACTGCCTGTTTCATCTCAGCAAAGTGAAGACCATACCTTTCTTCCAGCTCACTTTGTAATGCTTCCATTTTAGCCTGAACTTCCATCTCACTGACCATTCCCGGACTGACACCATGTGTCGGACTAGATGGACCAGACATACTTCTGGAATTGGAAACATCAGACTTCTGTTTCCGCATTAGTTCTGCATCCATCATGAGTTTTTGAACAACTTCATTGGTCTGTTTCTCACGAATCTTTGTGGTCTCATGTGATTCCTTTACCTTGGAGTACTCCTCAGAGATCAGGTCAAGTCTCTCTACCAGCTGGTTCATCATACTGTCTTTGTCTGTGATGACCTGTTGGAGTGACACAATTTCTTGTGTCGCGTCCTTGAGAGCGTGGGATGTTAGTGTTTGCTTTTCCGTCTGTGACTGCAATACCTTGCCAGCCTGAAACAGCACAAAAAAAAACCATGAATAACAGTCGCTCTAGTATAATGGCAATGAAAAACAGACACTCTTGTATAATGGTAAATAGATAAGATACATGAAAACATCTTGTACAGAGTGAGTAATTAGTACTGATCATGATGTATCAATGTTACAGAACGTATATTACCATGAGTATGAAAATGTGTAATAAATAGGTATACAGCCCATCCTCGATACTCCAGGAGTTATCTCACTTAAGCTCTCTGCACCCCTGCAATATGTCATAGCAAAATTGAAGGCTCAGTGTGCGCCACAATGTTGATGAGACAAGAAGACAAGTTTGATCCATTGTTTTCATCAAAAAAATCTCACGATCAGGTAAAAAGTAAAAATTGCCAGGCTTTGAAGTCAGGTGTCAATCCTTTGTAATTTTCAAATGACAAATAACAGCCTAGCAACTGGTCAGGTTTTTTTACCTGAGACCAATCAAACATCTATCTTTGTGCCTTCAATTTTGCATTGACATGTTGCAGGGGTGCAGAGAGCGTAAGTGAGCGTTACCCCTGGAGTGTCGAGGATGTGTACAGCCCAACACCCCAGGTTTAGTTAATTCCATAGGAGGGCGAGTGGAAACTGACTTAAGAAACATAGGCCAAGCAAATAGAATTTTCTTAAATCAGCCTGCAATTTATTACTCTAAATATGAAATTGTGCAGCTTAGAGAAAGCATCTAATGCCGAAGTTATTTATCAAAGACCCTATCTATCATGTTAATTTGCTATATATATAGATGGTAAATATGCATCACGATACCAGTACACAGCACCATCCACCCTTTCCCCCTGTTAACATCTAGTCATCCACCATATTTGTCAAAAGTTCATAATGCACTGACAAGCATGTAGACGACTGTGGCACTTTGGATGTCTCAATGTATTCATGTGAAGTTAATGAAAAAACTTTCTTCATTTCTGTAAACTTAACACTTTTTAAAGCTTTTTACAAGATCCAACAAGATTGCAGTCAAACGTGGGAAAAAAGAGAGAGACAGAATGTCAGCTATATTCACCGTTTGAAAATTTTCAAACTTCTGTCAATTAAATGTCGCTACTACATATGTGACGTCACACTTCAAAAAAGTCACGATCCGAAAAGGGAATTGCATGCAAACAAAGGGCATCTGTTCAAATTAAACCACAAAGAACTACGTCACCAGGGCTGGGGGTGGATCCAGGACCAGTTATAGTATGATCATACCCTCCTACTGTAAGTAGTGTCTGTAACCAAGAGCTACGTCAACAGGGCTGGGGGTGGATCCAGGACCAGTTATAGCATGATCATACCCTCCTACTATAAGTAGTGTCTGTAACCAAGATCTACGTCAACAGGGCTGGGGGGGGATCCAGGACCAGTTATAGTATGATAATACCCTCCTACTGTAAGTAATGTCTGTAACCAAGAACTACATCACCAGGGCTGGGGGGGGATCCAGGACCAGTTATAGTATGATAATACCCTCCTACTGTAAGTAATGTCTGTAACCAAGAACTACGTCCCCAGGCCTGGGGGTGGATCCAAACATTATAGCATGATCATACCCTCCTACTATAAGTAGTGTCTGTAACCAAGAGCTACATCACCAGGGCTGGGGGTGGATCCAGGACCAGTTATAGCGTGATCATACCCTCCTACTCTAAGTAGTGTCTGTAACCAAGAACTACGTCACCAGGGTTGGGAGTGGATCTAGACATTATAGCATGATCATACCTTCCTACTGTAAGTAGTGTCTGTAACCAAGAGCTACACCACCAGGGCTTGGGGTGGATCCAGGACCAGTTATAGCATGATCATACCCTCCTACTGTAAGTAGTGTCTGTAACTAAGAACTACGTCACCAGGGTTGGGGGTGGATCCAGGACCAGTTATAGTATGATCATACCCTCCTACTCTAAGTAGTGTCTGTAACCAAGAACTACGTCACCAGGGGTGGGGGTGGATCCAGACATTATAGCATGATCATACCCTCCTAGTATAAGTAGTGTCTGTAACCAAGAGCTACATCACCAGGGCTTGGGGTGGATCTAGGACCAGTTATAGCATGATCATACCCTCCTACTGTAAGCAGTGTCTGTAACCAAGAACTACGTCACCAGGGATGGGGGTGGATCTAGACATTATAGCATGATCATAACCTCCTACTGTAAGTAGTGTCTGTAACCAAGAGCTACATCTCCAGGGCTTGGGGTGGATCCAGGACCAGTTATAGCAGGATCATACCCTCCTACTGTAAGTAGTGTCTGTAACTAAGAACTACGTCACCAGGGTTGGGGGTGGATCCAGGACCAGTTATAGTATGATCATACCCTCCTACTGTAAGTAGTGTCTGTAACCAAGAACTACATCACCAGGGCTGGGGGTGGATCCAGACATTATAGCATGATCATACCCTCCTACTGTAAGTAGTGTCTGTAACCAAGAGCTACATCACCAGGGCTTGGGGTGGATCCAGGACCAGTTATAGCATGATCATACCCTCCTACTGTAAGTAGTGTCTGTAACCAAGAACTACGTCACCAGGGTTGGGGGTGGATCTAGACATTATAGCATGATCATACCCTCCTACTGTAAGTAGTGTCTGTAACCAAGAACTACGTCACCAGGGTTGGGGGTGGATCCAGACATTATAGCATGATCATACCCTCCTACTGTAAGTAGTGTCTGTAACCAAGAACTACGTCACCAGGGTTGGGGGTGGATCCAGACATTATAGCATGATCATACCCTCCTACTGTAAGTAGTGTCTGTAACCAAGAACTACGTCACCAGGGTTGGGGGTGGATCCAGACATTATAGCATGATCATACCCTCCTACTGTAAGTAGTGTCTGTAACCAAGAACTACGTCACCAGGGTTGGGGGTGGATCCAGACATTATAGCATGATCATACCCTCCTACTGTAAGTAGTGTCTGTAACCAAGAACTACGTCACCAGGGTTGGGGGTGGATCCAGACATTATAGCATGATCATACCCTCCTACTGTAAGTAGTGTCTGTAACCAAGAACTACGTCACCAGGGTTGGGGGTGGATCCAGACATTATAGCATGATCATACCCTCCTACTGTAAGTAGTGTCTGTAACCAAGAACTACGTCACCAGGGTTGGGGGTGGATCCAGACATTATAGCATGATCATACCCTCCTACTGTAAGTAGTGTCTGTAACCAAGAACTACGTCACCAGGGTTGGGGGTGGATCCAGACATTATAGCATGATCATACCCTCCTACTGTAAGTAGTGTCTGTAACCAAGAACTACGTCACCAGGGCTGGGGGTGGATCCAGACATTATAGCATGATCATACCCTCCTACTGTAAGTAGTGTCTGTAACCAAGAACTACGTCACCAGGGCTGGGGGTGGATCCAGGACCAGTTATAGTATGATCATACCCTACTACTGTAAGTAGTGTCTGTAACCAAGAACTACGCCACCAGGGCTGGGGGTGGATCCAGGACCAGTTATAGTATGATCATACCCTACTACTGTAAGTAGTGTCTGTAACCAAGAACTACGTCACCAGGGCTGGGGGTGGATCCAGACATTATAGCATGATCATACCCTCCTACTATAAGTAGTGTCTGTAACCAAGGTTTGTACAGTCTCAAAGTACTAAGGCAGAAATCTGTAAATTGCCAACAGGAGAAGATGATACACAAAGTAAATTGTATAGTGAATTGGTCTACCTGTCTACTTATAATTCAAAGGTTCCTCCAGTGCTTTCCAATTTCTCTAGCACACTTACTCTACTGCTAAATGGTGACTAGTAGGTGTTAAAAATACCCATCTTAGAGTGGTTTCTTAGGACACTTACTCTACTGCTAAATGGTGACTAGTAGGTGTTAAAAAAATACCCATCTTAGAGTGGTTTCTTAGGACACTGAAAAGAAACACCCAACTATTCAACGATTTCAACAAAACATGAACAAAACAATTTCACTGTATTCTTTTTTTTTAAATCAAACTAGTTAAACTCATTAAACTAAACAAACAGAAAACAAATTCAGCCAAACAAATTATCACCTGTCTGGAATCTGTGACATCTTCTATAATCTTCTAGAGCTACATGTAATGGTAGGATCCTAATAGCAGTATACAATTGTTTCATGGGTATTTGGGGAACAGCCAAAGCTATCATCCCTCTACCGAGGGATGGTAGTTTTGACTGTTCCTCAAATACCCATGAAATAATTGTTTTATTACCAAATACATATTAATATTAGTATTAAACCAACTCGTCATTGATTTGTCTGCGTAAACAACACTGAGACACAGTCACCAAAACGTTAGAACGGGGATCTGGAGGGGGGATTTCTGTGCCTCAAATTTGCGCCGGGTAACAGTTCGCTCTGACCGGGAAAACAGTTTGGACTGTTTCACCCCTACAGCCAAAATTGGACAAAAAGCCAGAAACAGTAAAAATTGACTAATTATAATTTGTATATACAATTAGGTAATACCTGGTATTGTCAAGGTACCTAATAACAGCTTGTACTGTGTAAGTCACCAAAGATCAGGCTACACCTAGATACCGTATCCAGGATACCATCTAGTGCTGGGACATTACATCAACACCTAGATACTGTATCCAGGATACCATCTAGTGCTGTGACATTACATCAACACCTAGATACAGTATCCAGGATTCCATCTAGTGCTGGGACATTTCATCAACACCTAGATACCGTATCCAGGATACCATCTAGTGCTGGGACATTTTATCAACACCTAGATACCGTATCCAGGATACCATCTAGTGCTGGGACATTTTATCAACACCTAGATACCGTATCCAGGATACCATCTAGTGCTGGGACATTTTATCAACACCTAGATACCGTATCCAGGATACCATCTAGTGCTGGGACATTACATCAGCACCTAGATACAGTATCCAGGATACCATCTAGTGCTGAGACATTACATCAACACCTAGATACAGTATCCAGGATAGCATCTAGT